TTTTTTGTTGTGGGGGGGGGGGGGGGGGGAGTTGTTATACCCTCTGTGAGAAAGGTCAGTGTGTTTTAGTCCAATGCTATAATATTAACTAGGATTTTTGGGAAAAAGTAAATCCTCTCCGGGTCAAAATGACTGAAACACAACATGAGGGTTAAGCACATTAGATTGATTAGGTTATTGCAGTGTGACTTTGAGCAAGCACACACAACTGTAGTTTACCTCATGTACAAATTGTAAGTTAATCCAAATTAAATGTTAACAAAGTAGCTCTGGGGTTTATTGTAATTTTGGAAATTGACATATTTAAGAATGGTATAATAGACATACAGCCTTTCAATCTGCCATTGCAACACTTTCATGACATCCGGATACAATGTGAGCAACATTTCAGTGAGGTGGTGAGATAAGGGTTAACTGTGCCAGCAATGAGGGCTTCTGCTGTGGTGTTCCAGAGCCAGCGTTGCCCACGGTTTTCCTCTCGATCGATGGGCTCTGCGACAGGCCTTGGCATCTGGCCCCAGTCTAGGTGGCCTGAGAGGATCTCTACTGGATGAGTGAGGGAGAGAGACATTTTTGGGCACAGGAGAAGAAATACTTTGTCATACAGAGAAAGTGATGAAAAACATCACTAAAAGAGGACGGCACAAAAAGAAAGAATGAGAGAATGGAGAGGTATAGATATAGAAAAGGGCCAGCTGAAAGAACATCTTTTTCTGTACTTGCCAAACAGAAAGAGATACTGTAGATAGAGAAGTAGATATGAGGTACAGCCACAGATTCATGGATAATTCATGAATATTCCACAGGGAAACAGTGAGGAGATGTGAGGTGTCAAACCAGTGCAACGGAGACAAGGTCAGTGAAGAGCGGGTAACTGAGGTCAGGTTGACCATGTGGGCTTTTAAGGAAGACTTCAAAGTTCATCTTGTAATGCAAGGATACATTGTTCAAATCACTGCCAAAAAAAAAATAAATAGAGATGCACCATATTAAAATTATGGCAAATACAGATAAGGTGGTAATTATTTCCAAATTCTTATTAATTAAAATTATTATATTACACTGTAAAAAATAGTATGATCAATAAGTCATGGCAACAAAACTCATCAAAATAAGTTAAGCAATTTCCAACTTTTTAAATAAGTTATACAATATTCTTCTCATGTTTCTAAGTCAGTTTGATGTAATTTAATTTATACAGATGACTGTACTAAATTTAAGGCAGCAACGTTTCTCAGTGTAGATGTACAAATAGATAAAATATGTGAAAACCATTTTACAATATTTTTAATGCTACAAATTAATTCAGGCATCACAACAATGTACAGTATGAAAAATTGATATTTTGACATTTGCTAATCAAGAAAATATCACTTTTAAATTTGTTTTCTTAAACAGAAACTAAAATTGTCCTCACAAGCAAATATTGAGGTATTTAAGATTTGATTTTGTTCCTTGGATTTTGTCATGTTCTATCATAGCATATTTTACGCATAACCTCACTCAATATTTTATTACATATTTTCAAGAAGCCAATATTTGCAATATTGATAGGTCACTTGCTTCAACCAGTGCTGGTGCCAGAAATCAAAGTCAGCTTTCCTGAATTGGAACTAATACACACATACATACTTATACTGGCATTTAGAGCCTGAAGCAGCGATGGGTTGCTGAGTCAGACACTTGGGCAGCTGCAGCTGTTAGGAGTTCCCACGGCACACAAACACTAATTTCTGGTAAGACAGTTTATGCGAGAAAAAGACATGACTGCACCATCCATCACTGCTGTTATAAAGCGACCTCTCCTGTCTCTCCTATATAACCGTTTTGAACTCCTAGTGCTGCATGGTGTATTTGCTGCATCTTTAAAATGATTTCTGCTCTGATTTACATTCTAAAATTGAGAGCTACAGAATTTCCCAGGCCATAGAGATCCATAAGGGCTGTTTTCTTCAGCATTGTAGAGATGTGTCTGTGGCTTATCATGGTTGTTCATAATAGACCAGCTTCTGCTGGACATGGAGGACCTGGCTGGTGGCATCCCCTGTGGATCTGGTTTGTCAAGAAAGGCATGATTAACGGTCAACAGTTGCTCCAGGAGAATGCGGCTCAAGGGGGCATGTTAACTCATTGCCTTTGGGCACAAATACAATTCATGGGTATGGATTTCTTAGCTGTATGCTGTTAACTGATCCAGTGCCAGGACAGTGTCCCAATTAGTATGGATATACAAGAAAGTGTTTGCAAGTGATTTTGATGTCTGTCAAATCAAGTGGCATGAAATGTTTTTATGTTAGATAATTATAAATTTGAGTCAAAATAGCACCTAAGTTTAGTTTTACTTTCATGTTAGGTGCACAAGGCTAAATTAATTTTCCCTCGAGAGGGTATAAAATAAGATGAAATAAAAATGAGATAGCCAGTATTTTCTGAGAGGCAGAATGAGAAATAAAGACAACTGAAGCTGAAGGCTGTACATAAAATAAATTTGTGACTTGAAATTGATTAGAGATGCAGGCATCTCATTTCATTTTCTGTCATTTTAGTTTGAGGCTTGAAGCTCAAATGGAGTGAAATGTTATAGTTTTTTGTGATTAGCGTGAGAGAAAGTTATGAGATGTTTTTGTGATGCAAAAACTGGAGTAGCCTAAGCCACTTCAGTTAAAATGTTCATTTCACAAGGCATTTTCAAATTAAGTTCAGTATTGTGAACTCTGCAAACTACTGTTATGACCACAGTTTTGGATTATTTATCTGCATACTGAGTAAATCAATTCTGAGAGAATAAATGATTGATGACTTACACCAGCATTAAAAGAGGTCAGCATGATGGCTCATTTATTATTAGGCCACATTCCCAGAAATCAAATGCAATTCCTAGCAGTTATAGAGTTCCAAAATGTCGACTGAACTAAGAATCATTGAACGAAGGCTTATATGCATGGAAAACACTTTCAGCTGACACCAGATTACATTGGAAAAAAATGTTGATGAAAATAGCAAAATCATAAATTTAGTTTACTTTTTTAAAGGGGTCATATGATGTGATTTCAAATTTTCCTTTCTCTTTGGAGAGTTACAAGCTCTTGGTGCATAAAGAAGATCTGTAAAGTTGCAAAGACTAAAGTCTCAAATCCAAAGAGATATTCTTTATAAAAGTTAAGAGTCAACCACACCTACCTAAAACGGCTCGTTCTAACACGCCCCCACATATCTACGTCACGATGTGGGAAGATTTGCATAACACCGCCCAAATGTTCACGCAAAGAAAGAAGGCGTAACTTTTATTCTCGCTGTAGTATTGTTGCCGCCGCTGCCATGTTGTGAAGGCGCTGTGTGCTTTGCTTTTTAGCAGCATCATATAACCCCTTTAAATGAAAAATAAAATGACGCGATAATCATACTTTTTCCCCATGAGAGGCCTAACAAGCAATAATGTATCCAGCTATCAAAGGGTTTAATCCATTAAACGTGAAATTAGATTAAGCCATTGAAAATTACTATTTTATGATTAGATTAATCCTCAAGCGGGAGAGAGTGCATGTTTTGTCAGTGCGTTAACCCTAGAGTCACTGGACAGACATTGTTTTCCATCCCTGCTTCCAATCTGATCACAGACAGCATAAAATTGGAGCATTCGACTGTTGAATATGTGAGAGCAACCTGTCCAGCAGCGAGTCAGAGAAAATGCAAGCCCACCCAGTATGTGAATGTCTGCTCTTCTCTTTCAATTAAATTTCCATTGCAGCCAGCTGTGAGGTTTCGTTGCCAAGGCAACTCAGACACCCACTCTACAGTGCTTGGCTCACCCTTGCTGAGCAGGCACATTGGTCAAGACCCACTAAAAGTGACCGAACAACAAGAGAGAGGGAAAGAACGAGTAAGCTAAGGTCAGTGGATGTTTTTGTGCGTGATACCTGTGTATGGCTAAAGAAGGAAGAAAAAGAGAATTTGGTGTTAGTGCATCATCTGAATTTGTCCTAGAGAATGTACAAGCGTGTGTTTGTATATGTATGGAGTCAAGAATATGAGTATTATTGTTTTAAGCACAACTGTGAGAGCAGTCATGTTTAGATGTGTTGACCAAAAAAGAATAACAATGGTTACACATCTCATATGCCATTTGTTTGCTGTGAGTCTAGCAACTGTGTGCTGATGGCTTTATAAATGAGAAGACTGTCATTTTGAGATATTGGATGGGGTAGGAGGATGTGATGCTTGGTGAGAAAATGAAGCATGAATTGAAGGGAGCATAATTCAGCTTTAAGAGGGTTTTGCCTTTCATTTGAGATTGTATAGCCTATATATATGGTGTGCATAGAGGTGCATCACACTTATATGCTGGTCTTGAGACACTCAACCACACTCTCTTGCCATTTTTACTTTACAAAGGTGGCATATATATTCAGAGAGGCATCATAAATTCATTTAAACACATTACAATCAATGAAATTACATACATTTTGAAGTAGCCTATGGTATTATGAATATAGAACAATGAATGAAAATCCTCTGTTAGCTAACTGAACAACTTTTCAATAACCACAAAAAGTTTACAAGTTAGACTTTGCTAGAATATTTGTAATTAGGTAACCACAGCAACAGCTGTCTTTAATATTGACAAACCATAAGTACTGTATGTTTTTGTCTTGTGATAGGCTACATTTACACAATCGAAATATATTACATAAAGCTTTAGTAACAAGTTTTGTTCAAACCACACAAGACGAACTGCAGTAAATTAGTGACATAATTTACTTTAATAAGTCGGACGTCGTTGAATAATTCACACACCATATCATCCACTCATTGAGGAAGTCTTCCAAATCAAAACAACATTTTGGTTCTAGTGTATTTGTGCATAAACTAAAAGATTGAAATCGAAAAGATGATGAGAGAACATAAACACCTCGTGCACATTCATTCAGAGCAAAACCCAAACAGATGGAAGACTTTTCTTTTAGATACTCATCATATCAAGCAGGGATCCTCAAATCTGGCCCTTGAGATCCACTTTCCTGCAGAGTTTAACTCTAACCCTAATCAAACACACCTGAGCAAACTAATAAATGTTTTCAGGATCATTAGAAAATCACAGGTAGGTGAGTTTGATCAGGGTTGGAGCTAAACTCTGCAGCGCATTGGCCCTCTTAACGTGGCTTAAAACTCTTTTAAAGAGAAAACTCTTAACGTGGTTTAATGGATTAGAGCAGGGCTGTCCAAACTCGGTCCTGCAGAGTTTAGCGCCAACCCTAATTAAACACACCTGAACCAGCTAATCAAGCTCTTACTAGGCATAGAAATTTCCAGTCAGGTGTGTTGAGGCAAGTTGGAGCTAAACTCTGCAGGACACCGGCCCTCCAGGACCGAGTTTGGACAGTCCTGGATTAGAGCGTTGCTTGCCTGTATATTATTTTTAATAAAATATACATAGGGCCTAAAATTTGGGCTTTCACTGTCTTATTAAGCACGGTTTTCTATTTGGGAGAAAACGCTTGTTGTGCAATACAGCGTGTTTACAATCTGCTTGCTTGTACACAGTATATATTTTTAATAATTTCTATAGCATATTTGGTGTTTTTTTAATTCCTGTTTTTGTTAAGCATTTTCTTTATAATTGCTTCTGGAAGGAAAACGCTTAAAGTGCAATTTAGTGCTTTCTGTTCATATTCTAGGCTTATCTGCTTTCCTGTATGCAAGGCTGTCCTTAGCTGACGCGGGGCGTGGTGCAAGATATGGACCGGGGCACCCCTTGGTCCGTTCGCCGCGGGGCCCGGTGTGGCCGCACCAGTTGCACCCCCCCCCTAAGGACGGCCCTGCCTGTATCTAGTATATTTTATTAATAAACTGTATACCGAATTCTGCCTTTTTATAGGCCTACCACTGTCTTAGTCCATTAATTAGCATTTTCTTTCTATGAAGGAGAAAATGCTTAACGTGACATTTAGCACGTTACGTACATATTTTGGGCTATTCTGCTTGTCTGTAAATAGTATGCTTTATTAATAAGGTGTGTAGGCCTACTGAATTTGGTCTTCCAATGTCACTGGTTTAGTACACACATTAAGCGTTTTAGAATGTCCCAAAACGGTGCCTTGAACTAAGCACTGACTGTATTTCTTTATACAAGTTCAAAATAAAACTCTATTAACCGCTCCATTGTGAACGTACGGAGCTGTATGAACCACTGCAAGCTGTGAAGTAAAAGTATTTGTCCGAACTCAACTAGTTTTGCGAGCGAACGCAAATGTCTTTGCGAGAGAAAGCAAAAGGTTTGCGAGCGAACGCAACATTTCTCGGGGGAACGCAAACGTTTTGCAGGAGAACGCATACGACTTGAAAAAAAAAAATAAATAAATCTCTCACCCCGTATTTTTCCCCTTTGGGGGCTCCGTAAATTCACGCCTTTAATTTCGATCGCGCTCCAGTTTACGTCCATTACGTCACTACCGGTAAGAGAAACAATCAGCAGGGCGCTCGATGTTGCAGAAATAAACTCTATCAGACTCTGCCTGCAGCCTCTTTCGCGGTTTCTCTCTTCAAACTGTGGGCGTTTAAAAAGAAACAGCGTGTTTAAGTATGAGAACGTCTCAATCAAAGAAGTAGGCGTTTACTCCTGCCGGAGAAAATGAAATCTTTAATTCATTTTTCTAATTGGAATGGAAGGGGAGAGTATTATGTGTTCTCGAGCGGCTCGCCCACGCATGCAATCACAATCGCGTGATTTAATCTGCGACCACAGTGAAAGCAGCACGAGCCACCTGTTTGTTTGATATGTCGATATCCTCTTCTAAACCCGCGATTGAACTGTTGGCATCAAGCTGATGTTTAAAACAGTGCTTTGCTGTCAGAGATTATACCTCTGAGCATTTCTTTCAAACATGCATTCAAATGAATGTTACTTCAAATGAAGCACGAACAAATTGGTTAGTGTTATTTTGTGAAGGCTGTGAAGTTCGTGTTTTTCTAAGGTGCCTGAACTGGTGTGTGTGCTCCACATATTGAGGTCTGGTAATTTATCTCAGCAGATGCTCGACAGAGAATGTCCAACAGAAATCGGGGGTCACAAGAGAGACGTAAAGATAGAAACACTGGTGCCTCACAAAATGTGTGAGGGACGGATAGGCTATCAGTGAAAAGTCAGTGAACGACTTTTAATTTTAACATCTTCGCTGATATCTTTCCGATATAGAGATAGGAAAAAAAGGACTGGAAAATAAAGTATGAGTTGGAGGGAGAAACTATAAGTAATTTGCAAGTATACTGCAAATGTTACAAACCGAAAAGAATTGACAAGTATAAGAGCAGAAGCTAGTGATGTTTTACATGCTTATTTACATTGCTATGCTTCTTTTCTTTCTTTTTTTGTTTGTCATACACTATACCTATTTTGGCATTCAAAAGTCTGAGACCACTAGTGGAAATGCATGTATGTTCTTTTCTAGTTTGGTTTATTTATTTATTTTTATTTTTTGCAAATTATATTATCGGGATCAAATTTGATTGAAAATTTAACATGAATTGATAATGGCAAAATGTCTTGGTATTTTGTTTGTCTCCCCTTTGCTTTAATAACAGTTCTTCAAGGGAAACATTGAAATTGGCTGTTTTGTACAAAGGAGTTCACATGGTCAGTGTCAGTATTGCTTGTTTGATTGGTGATCTAAAAATCATGCAGAAACAAATAATTTTGAGTTTCATATAATTTTTTCATAACGTTTTCCTTGGTTTAAAGTTTTTCAAAATCCTTTCAGAGTGTCTCAGACTTTAGGGCTCCTCTGTACATTTGTTGTTGTGGTACAGCGAAACACCATAACATAAATTAAACCTTTCTAAAACCTTTTTCAACTTTAAACCTTAAAAAAAAGTACTTTATTTTTCTGTGTACATTTCAAAGTCATATTGATGTAATTTGTATTAAATGTGGAACATTTTCTGGAGCGAAACACATTTTGGCATATAGCGGTGTGAAATATTTGTTGTTAATTATGCATGCCAATATTCTGTGCTTTTTAAAATTGTATTTATTTATTTTTGCCAGTTCTCTGAAAATCTATGTTAATCTGTTTTAGAATTTGTGCATGCTAAAAAAAAAGTGGGAAAGATACATAATTCTACATTTGTCTGTCTGTTTTTAGTTTGGAAGGTTGCCTGAATCAAGAAGAGCAGCTGTAGACACCAGCAGCTGGATTTCACTACCATCCTGATGCACAGCACCCTCTCAGACTGACGGGTTTTCTCTGGCAGCAAACTGGCAGAGAGAAAGAGAGCTCACACAGGTGGGCCAGCAACATCCCAGAGATTATAGATTTGGAGATTACAGGACAACAGCAGGTCAGGCTACATTGCCTTGTTGAAATCCGTGTTCTCCACCTCACCAATTCTGTTAAGAGCTGTTATTGTGAAATTGGCAAGCGAGTCCTGCGACGCAACACATTTACAAGCACTCGGCTGATCACATACTCCACTAGCTGTTAGACAGATGCAGTGTTAGAAGAAAATCGGATGAATCTTCAAGCTACTTTCATTGAAGACACCGTAAAGATCAAGGAACTAGCATGGTGGCGTGTCTGTGCATTTAAAGTAACTACTGCCGAATGAATGAGATGGAAAGAGTTTTGAGAGTGTTGTAGAATGTAAAACTATTCAAGATGTTTGCAAAAGAGCTTCATTACAAGTCTGTGAGAAAACTCCACCCTTTTCCACCTCTGGCTGCGAAGTTCGACATGGTGGCTTGCTAGACGGAGCGTACGGGCGCGAACACACCGGATTAGAGTGACAAACTTGTACTCATAGAGGACTGTAACGGAACAGACACAGATGACAGCCTAGCTTGTCTGGCACTGAGATGTCAAAACCACAGAGGGGACTATTCCTCCAACTGTCACTGCAGGGAGAATAGTGTCGATCACACACACGCCTACAAGCAGACTGTTTTTTAGAGGTGAAAGACTGGTGTGTGTTTGAACCGTGGCAGTATAGACAGTTCAAAAGCGTGAGAGAGAGAGCTGGAGGAGATCTCACAGTGTAGGGGGAAGAGAGCGAAAATAAAGAGCGCTAAAAAGGCACCACAGCAGTGGTGACACATTAAAAGAGAAGACTGACAGACTGGAGATCAGCAGTGGCAGTTCACAGGTGCACAGTTTTGTGAGATTCACACACTTTTGGGTTTAAAACCTGTAGCTCAGTACGCTGTGTAGTACTGAGTCCAGTTTGGGCACGGTGGCAGGGGCCGGTTCATGGGAGTGGGGCGGGCGCATGCCGTCTGTGCCTCCGCAGCGAGAGGGACGCTTCAGCTTGGGATGGGGTTGGGCTGCATGGGCTCGGGCTCAGAGGATGGGCGAGCTGAGACCCTGGGTGGCTGCCGGAGTCGGACATGCAGTGGCAGGAGAACGAGGGGGTAAACGATGTTCCCTTCGCTTCTGCGTGGTCTTGGGATCCCTTGCCCTCCTGTTCCTCACCTCACTCTTCTTCTCCTTCTCGCTGAGAGGAGGAGCCGGCTTGCCTTACTTGGAACCCCCGGGATGGGAAGAGTCACGCAGAGTTAAGCTAGTGCCCAGCTACTCCGGTTCCCACTTTGTCATCCCGGCTGAGAGCTCTCAGCAGAAGACATGTGCCTGCTCTCAGTGCGTGGGCGACCCAGGCATTTCTGACTGGTTCGACGAGAACTATGACCCGGACATCTCGCCTGTGTGGATTCGGGACAACATCCAGCTGCCTTCAGACGTGTACTACTGGTGGGTGGTAAGTGATCTTATGGTTACTCTCTTCTGCTTTTAGCTTAAGAAACCCTTTCAGTTGATGTGGTTAGACTTTGTTGTGGTTCGATTTTGTGAAATGCTTTTGGCCTCATGCATTAACTAAATGAAAAAACAAAATGAAATGGCTACAAAATTGTTGCATGTGAACTCACACTGTCCTTAATTAAAAGAGACCTAATTTTGTTGTGCTTCTCTCCTTTAAATGAGAGAGGTTAGCGATCTGCAATTGTGCTTATGCATCATGTTTAAACGACAGGAAGCCAAGAGGGCATTTTCATTAAAAAGAACATGAGTAATGTCTGAAAAAAGTGTGTCAGCTGAAAAGTGTAAGTCCGTAATACTTGCTCAGAGTGAATTAAAAGCAGGGCGGGTGCCGGACTGCATTAAGCCAAAGAAGCAGTAAGATTTTGGGATGAAGGTTAGGAACATGCTTGCACTGCTGAATTTTACATTTTCTTCAGAAAATGTAAGTGGTGCTGTTAGAATGCTGGGGTGGTCTAGGTGGTTGCTAAGGTGGTTTATTACTGGTCCAAAAAAAAAAGAAAAGAGTGATTGTTAATTGTTTTGGCAGTGTTGGACTTATTGGACATTTATTTCAGAGTTTAATAGGCATAATTACTCAAAACTAATTATGTAATTTGTTTTATGAAACTTAGGTGGACTGATGAAATTCCTCTGTTTGAAATTTTTGAATTGCAATTAATTAAATTTCTCTTCCTTTTATTCAAATTCTAATTCAGCGTCCTGTGGGTTGTAACAAGTTCAAATCAAATTTAAATTCAATCAAGTCAGGAATTTAATTTCTGATTGTTGCACAAAACTGCTATACAGATAAAGATGCACATACTGTATAACTTACATGAATATGCACACTACTGTTCAAGAGGGGTTGGTAATTTTTTTTAAATGTTTTTGAATGAAGTCTGTGTTTATTTTATCAAAACTCCATTAAAAATCATCATATTTTTATTTTTGATTCTTCATTATCAATGTTTTACAGTTGTTCTTAATATTTTTGGAAAAAAACTTGATTTTTTTTTAAGGATTCATTGATGAATAGAAATTTTAATAGAACTGCATTTATTTGAAATAGAAATGTGAAAATCTTGTGATCACTTTAGAGTACTCCTGCTGAATAAAAGTATAGAAATCTTAAAAAAAAAAATAATAATAAATTCTTTCTGATCCTAAACCTCTAATGGTAGCTTTCCGTTGATGAAAGAGTCTTATATTAAACACAATGGCTCCTGTTTTTTGAATGGGCACAGAGTAAAATCAGTGGCTGGCATCTGTACCCAGAAAACATCTGCCAAGAATTATGGAGACCTGGTAAACTCAGCAGCAGGGACCATGAGGAGAGGAAAGGAGGGAGAGAAAACAGGGAAAGATAGAGAACTGGGTTGGCTGGAAGGAAGCCATATCATGGAGGGATGTCAGTAAAATACAAAAGTAAAAGATTTTAGGTCTGGTCTTGGTTTTCAGAACGTCTTTTTTTTTTTTTTTTCTATTCATCACAGCAGAGGACTTCAGCAGCTAATTGGCTGCCTGGATGTTTATTTTAGTATGCATGTGTGCAAAGGCAGGTGTGCAGATGGTGTGAAGTTAAAAGATAACTGCCCAACCTTATGTTAGTTTCTTTCTTTCCCTTTCTTCCTCCCTCTCTTCTCTTCCCTCTGGGCTTTGTACAGATGTTGCAGCCTCAATTCAAACCCCACAACATCCAGCAAGTTCTACAGAGGCTGTTCCAGGTCATTCCAGGCCGTTCCCCATATGGTTCGTGGGACCCTGCCCGCTGTCTGCGCTGTGCCGTGGTGGGAAATTCGGGCAACCTCCGGGGGGCAGGTTACGGTCCAGTGATTGATGGCCACGACTTCATCATGAGGTGAGTCTTGAAATGCCACTGTGAAACGAAGTATGGAAAGAAAACAGTCTTTCAAACTATTTTTAACTACATATCTAAGATTATGAAAATGATTTGGTATTCTTTTGAAACAAAAAAAATAAGACATACAAATTCAGTTGAATTCAGAATGAGTTTGTCTAGCTAGGTTATGATAGTTGTGCATTTTCAAAGTTGTTTTCAATTTGAACACTATTTAGTTATGTGTTTTTCACAAGTTATGTTTTTTCTGCAGTGTTTTTTTTGTTTAGTTTTAGTATGTAATTTCTCTACTTCTGTACTTTTCTGACTTTAGACTGGTAGGATACTCAAACTAATAAAAAATATATTTCAAAAGCATATATCCACAGTGTTTAATTTTTTTAGGGTACATAAACCTTGAAATAGATTACTAGCTGCTATAGGAGATTTATTAAAAGTAGTAATTTAACACTGAAAAAAACCCCTACTTTTTAAGGAATCAATTAAGCAACCAACAGAACAGCTAGAGCTCTTAAAAAAGGAAGATCTTTGATAAAAGCCACATTTATCCATATCAATATATTTATAGTTTTATTTATTTTAGAGCTTATGAAAATGTGTGTGTTGTTTTTTTTAGCAGTATTTGTCTTGGTTTTAGTGTGCAATAATGGCTCTGTTTTCTGGGACACTGATCACAGTCAGATATGGTGGATTGACATTTGCAATTGCAGATTTCAGTTGAATGAACATGGAAAAGGGCAGAATGTGCATATTGCTGCTTAAAGAAAAGAGTAAAATAATAGCCTGGGGAGACGTTGAAGAACAGTGTATGTTTAGTAGAGATCAGAGAGTCGGAGCGGCTGAAAGAGACGGAGGTATAAATTGAGGTGCTATTTCAGTCAAGTCTTTATTGATTCAGCTCTGAAATCTCGTCCTCCGCTGTATCCATTTCTTTCTTCTGCCCCACAGCATCTGTCTCCTCGTCTCTTTATTTGTTTAACTGCTGTCTGCTTTCATTTTGGCACAGTTTAAGAGATGGTTTGAGCTTCCTGCCTCAGTCAAATTAGTTTGCTGTTGCTGTTTATTGGCTCATAAGTTTCCACTGGCTGAAACATTTTTATTAAAGTAAACAGTACTTTGTTTGAAATCTGTTAGCATCCTTGTAGCATACCAACTGCATTTCATGTATATACTTCTGTATTTTTGTATTTTATTTGTTTGTTTATTTAACAGGGGCAATACGCTAGGCATTGTTACATAAAGACAACCGATGCTGTGTATATAGGACATGTAGCATAAAGCTAGTTTGCAGCCCTCGTCCCTGGTTAAGGTTTTACATAAAATCAAAACATCCAAATAAAAAACAAACACAATCATCACAAGGAACAAAACAAGTACAATTACACATGTGTATATATAGATAACTATGTGAGTATATGTTGTACCTAAACAATCAAACAATGGCATATTGACATACCTAAACACATATGTAACTTTATACAAAGTCACAAGCATAAAATGTAAATTATCCTGCATACAGAAAGAAAATGTAAGCTTAACCAGCCTGAATAAGCCTAAGGTACTCGATGTTCACATCGCTGTAGAGACTTCAGCCATTGTTTCAGCTTTGTAGAGAAAACTGTGAGTTCTGATTGCAACTTTAAATCTACAGGCATGGTGTTCCATAGATGTGAACCTTTCACTGAAAAGGATGATTGACCCTCAGTAGTTCTGTATCTCCAAACTCTACAATTCCCACTTACTGCCCCTCTGGTCTTTGCCCCATCACTACTGTATTTTTGTATCAGCTAACAGATTACATAAGGGGCAAGCTCATATAAACTTAAATACTGTTTTTATAAATGAAAACTTTATCAAAAAAATGATCAAAACTTAACAAATAATACTTTTGAAGAATTTGACGATGCCATTTCATTGGTTTCTGATCCATTACTTTTAAAGTTTGTTTGTATAATGACATTACAGGCTTAACAACTGATTGGGAAGCCTGACCCCAAATTATAGCACAATAGGTCATATGTGAACATATCATAGTATACACAAACATTTGAGCTGCTTTAAGAGATATACATGGTCTTATCATATGAAAACTGTTTGAATTAGTCTTAATAGTCTTAGACATGTTCTTAATATGGGCATCAAACTTAAAGGGTTAGTTCACCCAAGTTATCGCACAATAGGTCACATGTGAAAATATCATAGTATGCATAAACATTTGAGCTGCTTTAAGAGATATACATGGTCTTATCATATGAAAACTGTTTGAATTAGTCTTAATAGTCTTAGACATGTTCTTAATATGGGCATCAAACTTAAAGGGTTAGTTCACCCAAAAATGAAAATTTTGTAATTAATTACTCACCCTTATGTCGTTCCAAACCCGTAAGACCTCCGTTCATCTTCGGAACACAAATTAAGATATTTTTGATGCATTCTGACAGCTCTCTGACCCTCCCATAGACAGCAAGGGTACTACCACGATCAACGTCCAGAAACGTAGCAAGGAGATCGGTAAAATAATCCATGTGACATCAGGGGTTCAACCGTAATATTACGAAGCTACGAGAATACTTTTTGTGTGCAAAAGAAAAAAAAAGACTTTATTCAACAATTCGTCTCCTCTGTGTCACCCTAGCGCCATTTTGGAGAGTATCCACTGAACGCAAACTGCGTATGTTGTTCTGTGCACCACACGGATACGTTGTTTTCGTGTGTGGTGCGGCTGACACAGAACAACATACGTTTTCTTACGGGTTTGGAACGGCATGAGGGTGAGTAATTAATGACAGAATTTTAATTTTTGGGTGAACTATCCCTTTAAGCTTGGAGACTACAATGACACCTAAATATTTAAATTCACTCACTTCCTTGATTTCCTTTTGGTCAAATAAATACATCCAGCACTTTGCTCCTTAGTGAAAAACAAATTGAAACTGTTTTGTTGTAATTTAAAGTTAAACAGTTATCCTGCAGCCACTGGGAAACACTGACCAGTTGCCTGGTTAACAATTCTGCAGCCAGATGAGAAGTTTCTGCTGTTACATAAATATTTGTGTCATCTGCATAATTTGACAACCAACCTCCTTGCAACTTTCAGGTAAATAATTTATATATAAACAAAAAAAGCAAAGGACCCAATATTGAGCCTTGTGGTATACCTAGTTTGCATTTTCGAAGAGACGACTTCACACCACAACTACTTTTTATGGTATCTATAAAATGACATATAGCCAATTCTGTTAAATACTTTGGCCAAAATCCAAATTGCTTAGAGTATAAATTTTTATTTTTTCCCCATGTAATTCATTAATTTTTCAGCCATTAATTGTTTAACTTCTCTATGACTTTGGAAATTACTGGAATAATTAAGATGGGTCTATAATTACACACCTCATCAGTCTCTCCAGACTTAAAAACTTTGGTCACCACAGCTGTTTTAAAATTTTGTGGAAACTCACCAGTTTTAATAGATCAAATTAGCAAATTAGCTACTGGCCTTACCAGAGTTGCACCGTTTTTAATAAGAGAAGCATCTAAACCAAATATATCTTTAGCTTTTGAGCTGTTAAATTTATTAATAATTTTACCGATTTTATCTTGATCAACCTGTAAAATATAAAAAGATGAAGATGAATTTTTTACTACATCATGTGATAAACAGAATTGAAATTTGCTGCAAGTTCTTCTACTGATTAAAAAAACAGGTATTAAATTAATTTTTGCAATTTCCAAAGCATCAGTACTTTTCATTTATATTCAGTTTTGTTATGTCCTTACTTTGACTGAATTTGTGGTTAATTTATTCATAATTTAACAGTTAGTTTCCAAATTGTTACATACAGACAACCGATGCTGTGTATATAGGACATGTAGCATAAAACTAGTTTGCAGCCCTTGTCCCTGGTTAAGCTTTACATAAAATCAAAACATCCAAATAAAAAACAAACACAGTCATCACAAGGAACAAAGCAAGTACAATTACAGATGTGTATATATAGATAACTATGCGAGTATATGTTGTACCTAAACAATCAAACAATGGCATATTGACATACTTATATAATTTATTCATATGTTTCCAAAAAAGCGAGCTATTGCCCTGTGAGTCAGCAAACAACTGCATGAAATAAGATGACTTTGCTTTTCTCAGTTCACTAACCACTTTATTCCTTAAATCTTTAGAGATCAATATATCTGTAGTTTTGTAGATCAACCATGTGCAGTCACATCTTGTTACTCCCATGTTGTGGTTTAAAGCTGGTAATCCTGAGTTTTTCTATTAATGAATGTTGATTTTTTTTTTCCTACTGGAATAAAACTGTTCAAGAATGTAGACCAATCCAACCAGAATATGCAAGAAAAGCTGATACAAAAGAGCGGGTGTGGAGCCACCTCTGCTCTTGGCAGCCATCTTGACATTACATACTGGTGTGAAGCGTTGGTGAGAATTTATTCATTAATTTATTGTTTACTTTTAATTAATTTGTGAAAACCAGTGCTAAGTACCAACTGTATTACTACTAAACACTACAACAGAGCTGTAGAATAACAAACCTTTCTTGCACTTCCACCAAAAAAAAATCTTAATTTTAAATGAGTATTGTGGTTTCCAGTTTAAGCCTTGCTCTTTGGCCTTTTGTTTATTAGAGATTGATGATATAAGAAGAAAAACGCTTGAGATTTGATTGGTAAAACATCTCACTCACTTTGAGAAAAGCTTTTAGTCTTAAGAAGATAAAGAAAGCGAGAGAGAGAGATGACGTGATATTTGTTTTGCATTAAAATTTCTAGGACTATTGCATCTAAAGCTTTTTAAATCCTGTGCCTGGATACAAGCTTGAGATTCTATGTGTTTGCAAAACCTTGGTGATGTAAGGCAATTTCAGTGAATACATGTAGAATACAGATTGAATGAGAAAGGGAGGCAGGATTTTTGTTTTCTAATCGGAGCATTTTGTTGAGAGGACATGAGCTGTGAAATAGAAGCTCTGACATCCATCGGGGAAACAGACGTGTCTCCTGAATAGACACCGACCCTGTCTGCGTTCCTGTCTGATACACACCCTCTTTCCATCATCTTGCTTGTCTCTTGCAGTCTGTCTCTCTTAAAGGAATAGGTCACCCCAAAATGAAAATTGTGTCATTTATACATCCTCATGTCATTCCAAACCCTTACATTGTTTTTCTGTGGAACAAAAAGGAGCATTTTGAATAATTCCCTGGTTATTATTTTCTGTACAATTACAATGAATGGTGATGTCTCTCTGTCTGCTTTTTTTTTGCTGCTGGCTGTCAACCTGAATGCACTTTCTGTTTGTTCTCTGTACTCCGTCATGGGGAAAATAATGAAATGCTAAAGTAATAGGGCTTGTTTGAGCAAAAGTGAGGGAGCGTTTTCACGGTCCAATTCAATTGGGTCTGTGTGTTCCAGGATGAACCTGGCTCCCACTGTAGGGTACGAAGAGGATGCCGGCAGCCGTACCACACACCACTTCATGTACCCAGAAAGTGCCAAAAACCTGGCGGCCAACGTTAGCTTTGTGCTGGTGCCCTTCAAGACTCTCGACTTGTTGTGGATCACCAGTGCCCTCTCCACCGGCCAGATCCGCTTGTGAGAACAATAATGCAGACACAAGGATTTTAGGAGAAAAGATAGCTGCACTATTTTTTATTTTTTTATTTTATATTATGTTTTAAAGGGGTCATATGATGTTGCTAAAAAGAACATTATTTTGTGTATTTGGTGTAATGAAATGTG